CGCCTGGAAATCACTTGGCACTTCGAGTTTCCACGGTTGCAATTGCGTTTGACAGGATGTGGATGGGGCGGGAGGGAGGAAATCACTAGAATTGATCAACTGTCTTTCAGGTGTTGAATTGTGCAATATTGGGTCTGACAATTTATGGCTTGGCAACACTTTTGCAAATCGTGGCGTCAGTTCCCGAGAGTGCAAACCTGCAGCTCACCAAACTAGACTTAGGAAATACCAGTTATTTATTGAGTTATTGAGTTATTGAGTTATTGAGTTATTTATTTATTTATTTATTTATTTAGTTAGTTAGTTAGTTAGTTAGTTAGTTAGTTATTAGTTAGTTATTATCTAGTTAGTTAGTTATTGAGTTATTGAGTTCTTTATTTATTGAGTTACTTATTTATTTGGTTAGTTATTAGTTATTAGTTAGTTAGTTAGTTAGTTATTATCTAGTTAGTGGGTTAGTGGGTTATTTATTTAGTTATTGAGTTATTGAGTTAGTGAGTTAGTGAGTTAGTGATTTATTTATTTATTTATTTATTTATTTAGTCAGTCAGTCAGTCAGTCAGTTAGTTAGTTAGTTAGTTAGTGTGACATTAATGCTAGATATGAGTGGAATAAACCTCATAAATTTTCAGCTTCATTCGAATTATTTTTTTCCACCACAACTTATCGATAAGGAGATGGTTGACTCCGCGTGTGTGTGTGTGTGTGTGTGTGTGTGTGTGCAGCCGCCTGAGAGCGCTGAGTGAACAGTGATGTCTCGCTCACTCCCCCCTTCTCAATGGGAGAGATGTCAAAACAAGTTGCCCAGAACGACTCACTAGTTGCCTTTACTGCCTCGCCTTCGGGCAACCATAGAGTCGAGAGAGAGAGAGAGAGAAAGAAAGAGAGAGAGAGAGAGAGAGAGAGATGATTAAGCCACAATTAAGGTAATTTGTGAGAACGAAAGCCTGAGTCGGGTCTGGGCTGTGCAGTCAGTTTTTGCCTCTTGATGGCTATCTCTGGGCTTTTTTTTTGGGGGGGGGGGGGGGGGCAGAAACGGTGCAATGTTTGCAGTTCAGTGGGTTTAATGCAAAGTAATCATTAAGCACCCTTGAGATTGAGGCACAACACAAGTGGTGCTGAGGATAAGGGCACAAGTGTTGTCTTGGACCCAACACACACTCACTCCGATGGGGGGAAAAGCTGATGAAAAGAACTTGTATTTTTGGTGCCAAGGTTAGAGTTAATTTAGGAATTGGGTCCGTCCCCCCCCCCGGCAGAATATGATCAAGATCAGTGAGAATATTGCCTCGAAGCAAAAATAATTTAGCATTTTTATTGCATGTGTGTGTTTATATAAATATATATATATATATTATATATTCAGATGATGCATTTTGTGTATTTGTAGGTTTCTGTTCACTTTAGTTCAGATCAGGGACAATTCCTGGGGTTTTTCCACCACCTTTTCTGCTTCCACTTGGGCTTCATTCGCCTCCATATAGTGGCTCTGAAGATTTGACCACAGAGCCTTATTATTCGAAGGCTTTTCACGGGATTTTTAACGACGAGTGAAACAGTTCTGAAATGGCAAATATTATCATTGTTGAGAATATAGCGGTTCCCAAATCCTCTTGAAGGAAATTGTTTAATTGTGCGCGGGTGTGTGTGTGTGTGTGTATGTATATTAAAATACTTTGTGACAAATTTACTTGTCCTTTAAATCCACGTTACACAAGAGAATATTGGTGTAGTGACTGTGCATTCGTAGGCGAATTCCCCAGCCAATTTTTGGCACAGCCCTGGGAGTGGAAAGGTGGTGGAGGGGCTGCAATTTAAGCCAAGTTACAACCGAAACAAAATAAAATCACATTCTTCTTGAACGATTGCCTTGCGCTCGTGTGGCAAATGTGTGTGGGGGGGGGGAATCGTTAAATTAACAGCGAACGGCGCATTGTTGCAGAAGATATATTTCGTGGGGGAAATTGCACACATTTGCACAAGTTCTCTCGGTGCAAACTTGACGCCAGTCACATCCCAATTGCCATAATGTGTGAAGGTATAATAATAATAATAATAATAATAATCCTTGCATTTGATACAGCGCCTTATCACGTCGTCGAGACGTCTCAAAGCGCTTCGCAGAGTATAGTGTGTCCAGTGATACCAACACAGAAGTGGCAGCTCAGGCAGCATCTATGGAGAGAGGAAAATTAGTCAACGTTTGAGTGAATCGAGTGAATTTGTGTGAAGTACGTTTTGTGGGCGAAACTATTTCAAACAGCATCTTGACATGGTTGGGTGGGATGTTACCGAGTTACACTCAAATAATTGCTCAACAACTTACAAATTAAAAAAATAATGTTGGGAGGTTCATTGCATTTGCCTTCTGGACAGTATCTTGCATTGACCCCCCCCCCCCCCCCCCCCCCCCCCCAGAGGTTTGTTTGCTACAAATTCAAAGATAAAAGAGGGAAGACTATCATTTATATAATATATATATATACTGTATATAATATATAAAACTTCAAATAAGTATTATTTCCTTTCGTCCATCGCTGCATCATGAAAGTAAATCGGTTCCACAATGTCCCTGAAGGGAATAGTTTGATTATGCGCGTGTGTATACTTTTTATTTTTTTAAAAAATACTCTGTTACAACTTTACCTTTTGGAGACAAAATTCACTACAAAAGACGCAACGAAAGAGAAAAGAGAACAAGAGCAGATTTTCGATTCCCGTTTTATATATGTATATATATATATATATATATATATATATACATAGAGATACTATCTTCTCTCCAGAAATAAGGTGTGTGTAGTCTCATTTTGCAACTCAATTTGTGCACATGTTCCGCACTTCACAACTTTGGAGGGTTAAAAACAAAACGTTTAGCTACTTTACTTTACTTGACTTTACTCTTTGAAATCACAAACCCATTTTTATTTCAAATAAATAAATAGCTTCAGGTGCACCTTTATAACCGCAATGATGCCAGTTACATATGTTTTTTTTTAAAAATCCAGTGCTGGCTGGCAACAAACATTTCTATTGCCATCAATTTATTATAATAAATTCCTCGAAGATGGGTGAACCCAATGAAAAAAAAGTTAGATTACAGAAAGAAAAGTGCGATTAACAGGCAAAGTCGTGTTCAAAACTCCTACCAGTGGAGGTAGGATCGACCATATACTCTCTCTCACACACACACACACACACACACATTTTTCCCTGTTGTTAAAACAGATTGTGAAATCAATGGGATGAATTTTGGTTAATTTTTCGAAAAAAAAACGACGAGGAAATGTCTCGTCTCCTTAAATCTCGCTGTGGTGTCAGTCAGTCGGGCAACTCACCATATGAGTTTGCTTTTTATTTGGAGGGGGAGAAAGGGTGAGGGAATTTTTTTTTAAAAAAATATATATATATATTGTATATAAAAAAAAGGGATCCCAGATCCCCATTGAATAGGTTTAGAGCGACATGTGGCCTTTGCACCCCGTCCTGCCAAACACTACCAACGCTGCCACACTCGCAGAATTGTTTGTTAATAGCTCAATTAGATAATTGCCATCTTTCACTCCTTTTCTCCCCCTCCCCTCCCTCCCCTCCTTCCTTCCCTTCATTTCCCATAAAAGAATGAATGGGGGGAGAGTCTGTGCTCTGCTGAGGCTGGTGGGCAGGGATACAGGGTCGTGCTTTGAGCAGCCACAGTCATTCACTTGAATTGGTTCATTGTGGACTTAAATCCTCGGTTTTATTGGATTATTCTCCAGACTGGAGACCAGGTATATTGTTGCTCTGACAATGAAATAACTGAGGTGAAACTCTTTCCTCCCCACCCCCCCCCCCTCCCACCCCCAACCCTCCCTCCTTCCCCACCCACCCACTCACTCACCCACTCCCCATTTAGTGAATCTTTAGTTAGGATTTTCCGGACTGGGTTGTTGTCCTGTGGATATATTTTGAAAAGATTCTCTCCCCCTCCCCTTCTCTCTCTCTCTCTCTCTCAACCCGCAAACCTCAACACCCACCCCCAACACCCCCCCCACACCAAAATAAGCTCCCAAACTGGCTCTCTCACCCCCACCCCTCTCTCTCTCTCTCTTCCTTTCTTTCATCTCTCTCTCTCCCTCTTTCCTCTCAACATTCAGTCCAGGAAACTCCTTCTCAAAAGCAGTCCAAGGCTTTAGAGAGATGGCTGTTCACGGTGTGAATCTGGCACCAATTCGCCCAGAACTTTCCTGAAACTCTCTCCCTCTATGTATGTATGTATATATATATATATATCTCTGTGTGTGCGTGTGTATATATATATAAATATGTTGCATTCTTAGACCAATCAGTGGACTGTGTTTAGCAGCTCCTCTCGACTTGATTGAAGACAAGGAGAGAAACCAGCTATTAAGACCTGGGGTATATTATCCAAAACAACTCAGTGTTATATTCATGAGGGTAACGTCAATGTCGGGGGCTGTAAAATTACCCATAATCAAGTGAAACGGCGAGTGTCTGGTTGTGGGAGCTCTGTGGTGACCTCGCACTGAATCTGCTGAGAGGCTGAGAGGTTTGAAAGGCTATGTAGCCCCAGTGTTGATCATTGGGGGGGTGGTGGTGGTGGTGAGGGGTTGGGGGGGGGGGTGTTATCTGAAGCTTTTTTGGACAAGCAGAACAGGACGGGCCTTCGGATCGAGCAGGACTGCAACCTGCAACCCGGCTTTAGGGTCGACAGACATTTCATCCACAGAACGAAAAGCCAAAGCAACTGCAGAGCAAAAGAAAAAAAAAATCTATATATATATATATTTTGTGCAATACTCGGCTCTCTTCTCCCACCGCCCCCACCACCACCACCATCACCCCTCCTTCCTTCCTTCCTTCCTTCCTACAGCAACCACCCCCGACCCCCCCCAAAAAAAAATCATCCTGCCCTTGCAAAGAGAGAGAGAGAGAGAGAAATAATAATAATAATTCTCTCTCTCCTCCTGAACCAAACCCTCAACTCATTCATTCGCTCGATGGATGTCAGATGCAACCGAGAGCCACTAATGGAAGCCGAGTCGAGCACCGGGTTAAAGAACGGGCTCCGGGAAGGCAAAGAGTCGGTGCCCGGTGTCAGGGACTCTCACGGGAACCACCGGAATCCGTTGATGCAGGAACAGCAGCGAGAGACCTTCACCGTCTCCGCGGCTCCCGAGGACTGCAATAAAACCAAAGCCAACGCCACAGACCCGGACTATTGCAGAAGAATTCTTGTACGAGGTGAGTGCGTTATTTGTTTGGGGGTTTTTTTTGGGGGGGAGGTGGTGGGGTGGGGGGTGAGTGGTTGGTTGGGGGTTTTTTTTGTGCGTGTGTGTGTGTGTGTGTGTGTGTGGCTTTTTTTCTCTCTCTCTCACTCTCTTATATTATTTTTCTTTTCAAATAAACAGCACTGATTTATCTGCAAACGCCTTCCAGCTCAGCTCACTCAGATTGAACTTCCAATTGAGCACTGTTTCTTTTTAACACTCTATTTTTTTTTCAACGCTATTTATTCCTCCCCAACACACACACAATATTGCATTAAATTGTCATTTTTACAACATCTCTAAATAAATGCTGGGAGACGATTAAGGACAAAAAAAAAACCCCCAGCAAGTGATAATAATCCGGAGGGAAACTCACCAGTGTGTCGATTAGTGCAAACTTTTTTTTCTTAGCATTCCTCCGAAACGTGTGTATCGGTGCGTTTATTTACTGTCGATGTGTCCCTTGATTTATTTTATTTTATGGCCCATTTTGCTCACTGATCCGCTCGCAAAAGCGATTCACTACACGAACGAGCGAGCGAGCAGTGTGAAGAATGGGAAATACACCGAAACGAGTCAATCGGGTGATTGCCAACAATAACAAAAAAACGAGGCTTTTTTAAAAAAAAAATTATATAATTATATTCCTCTCTTTCCCCTCAACCCCTCACCCCCCAAAAAAAATTATTGTCTATTTCCTCTTCTTCAGACTCAGCAAATTCTGTAATTCTCAGTGAAATGAAAGGTTCCTGTTTCCTGATTCAGGGAATTCTCATTCTGTAGTTAAAGCGATCGGTTGTAGGTTTGAACATAAGATGTTTTGCAACTGTGTGTGTGTGTGTGTCTGTCTCTGTCTGAGTGCAAATATCTCCCGCACGCCAACCTTTTCATTGAATTAAGTTGCTTCCAACGGAAGAAAAAGTTGCAGCTTTGACGTTTTGCCATTTTACCTTTTATATTTTTTTCTCTAAAAAAAAATAGCCTGTTACCCAGGCAAGGAAATTGCACTTAAAAACCCCGACAGAACTGATACAGCGGTCAACGTCTCGATGGTTTTTGTTTTCTTTTACTCTTGTTGTTTTATTGGTATCGTAAAATCGATGTGATGACTTGTATGGATACTGTACTAATTTGCGCATCTATCTATCTATACAATGACAATATATTCGCTGGTCAGTGCGATAAAATAAACTGCACAATTCACAACAAAGGAAAACACCAAACGTATATGATGTGCACTGAAAGGGGAGGTGGGGGGGGGGGCGATTGGTACAAACTCGGTGCTTGGCAGATAGCAACATATTTTGGAGCATTTCAGGTCACACTTGTTTTTTTTTTAAAAAAAACTTGCGACCAACTGGGGTTATAAAACTAACACATTACTGAAAGCGACTGAGGCGTGTGCTGTTAGCGAGGTGAGGGGTCATCGCGTTGTATTTTATTTTAAACCAAGACCCTTCTGTCTGGAGTGCTGTAAAGAGGCGCATCAATTGCCTTCTTCTCACAGTCTTAATTTTAGGAATTCTGTCCGGGATATGTTTTGCTGAAGCCCCACGTCTGTCGGCTGTTGGAATCGTAAACGCAATAATCCATAATAATCGCAAATATAAATACCCACCGCATTGCTTTTCAGTAATTAGGTCTGATTCACTCGCGTTAATTTCTGAGATTGCACTACACCCCAACTTGATGTTAACCCAACTCACTGGGAAGCGAACGTGGGAATAGAAGTTATTGGAGAAATAAGATTTCCCTACATCAGCCATTTCATAGCGAGCAATTCTAATTCTCCCCCCCCACCACCACCCCCAAAGTTTAGTTTGTGTCTGGAGTAGTTTTCATTCACAGTCTTGTTTTTTTTTAAAAAAACACCTTTTTTAACTGGATGTTTTCTCTTGTTTAATTTCTTCTGAAACGTGTTATCTCATTGCACATCTTCCCGGCTTTGCTTATGTGTGCGGCTTGTGGATTTATATTCATTCATTCATTCGGTCGAGAGAGAGAGAGAGAGAGAGAGAGAGAGAGACTGTGTATTTCATAAATAAAGTTAATTGAAATAGGTGTGAGTTTTTTTGTTGTTGTTGTTGATGATGTGTGGTTTCCAGGTGATTGATAAAACAAGTGAGTTGATTTTTTTTTAATAAAAAAACAACGCGGAGGGGGAAGAGAAGGAGTAATTTGGTCTCATTTAACGTTTGGTCATTGAAAGGGAATAAAAGTCGTCGTCACGTCAACATGTATAATACAGTCAAGTAATACGTGGTGCAAAAAATGATGGTTAATCCCTCTGTGGCCGATTGACCCTCACGAGGAACGTCAGGTCCAAACAGAAGATGCAACGTTAAAAAAAATGCCACGATTCTGGATAAAACTGAAGACGTTTGCCAATTGCAGTTTTAAGCAGAAATTTGCCTTGAAAGTCCAAGCATTTTTTTTTTGTGTTGTCGTTGCCTTTCATTTGCCCTCAAATTCTCAAAGCACCCTTGGGCAATGCAATCCTGGTTTCAAGGCAGTTTTCCTCCCACCCGCCCCAAGAGCAAATAGAGCAGGTTTCACGTTCAATTTATTTTCTTTTGAATCAGATCGTGGGCGCTCATCATCTTAGATTGGGTGTCAAACATTGTCTTTAAGGTTTGAAACTGAAAGCTTTTTTTTTCTCTCGTACTGGACTTCAAAAAAAAAGTATTAAACGAGACCGAAACACGAAATGAATAATAAATGATGCTTTTAGGGAGAGCAACATTCAGCTTGGTTATCATTTGGCCTCGATAGGGGGAGGGTTTGAGTTAAAAGATAATTTTTTGACATTTTACTGGACAAGCGATGACACTTTGATTGTCGTAAAAGTAGTACTGATTCGGTTATGTTTTATATAAATAGAAATTAGGAAATCTAACTGAACACACTGGTCAAATAGAACCCAGGAAGAGTGCTGATTAATGTTGACTATCAGACAAAATTGGAATCTAGAAAAAAAAACCGAATATTTCGAAAATATTTACTAGTTTCCCCCCTCGCCCCAATATTCCCAGTGTTGCTGCATGCAATCAGGTTGGCTGTGATGTGTTTCTGAGTGTGTCGTGGTTGCAAGTCCATTAAAACCTTACTGGTCGTCAACTAATTTCACACAGCGGGTCTTTAGACACACATCCCGTGTTATTTCATGATATAATGCCTTGTGGATTTAATCCGCAAATGGTAAAATCAACCAACTGCTGTACCCGTGCAGTTGGATTGCATTGGCTGCGTCTATTGACCACTGAATGTTTGGGTGGTTTAGTTGTGTGGATGCTCTGGGGTCCCCAAGCCTTGGCTCTTGCCCACCTGCGCCTCATACTTTCCGGAATTAGGTACCCACAAGGCATCCCCTCCAGGGAGAGAGTGTGCACACCATCCCAACAATCTGCCTCTGGCATTTCCAAGTGCAGGAGAGATGTGTCAAATTCTCAATTTGGTTGGGATACTCTTAAGCACAATGATGGATTTCCGCAAGTGTCAGACACACACACACTGACCGGACTGACCCTCCCCCATTTCTTCCCCCCACCCCCCCAAAAAAAAAGTTGCATGGATACAAAGTAACTGGACAACTGTATTTGACCCCGCAGATGCCAAGGGATCCATACGAGAAATCATTCTACCCAAAGGGTTGGATTTGGATCGACCCAAACGCACTAGAACATCTTTCACAGCTGAGCAGCTATATCGATTGGAAATGGAGTTCCAACGCTGTCAATACGTGGTGGGACGTGAGAGGACAGAGTTAGCTCGACAGCTCAACTTGTCGGAAACTCAGGTAGATATATGTTCAGTGTGTGTGTGTGTATATATATATATATGCAAGGTCATTTCTGAGGTCCTGGTACCTGCTGTCCACCACTTGTTCATCTGCCCTTTAAATGTCCCCATAATGCGTACTTAGTTCGGCACTTTTTGTGAATCTGACTTTCTTTTAATTAAAAAAAATTTAAAAGGTTTTTTTTTATTTCATAAAATGTTCCGCACACACTTCTCTGTGTGTGTGTGTGTGTGTGTGTTGGTATTGCAAGGTTTGTGGAGGATTGGGTAGATACACAGCTAAACGATGGATCAAACCGACAGCACCTGAACGGTTACGCTGGGTTAACGATGAGAGGGGAGGAGGTGGGGGGGGGGGGGGAGAAAGTGGGGAGTTGACCCCCCAAAAGAGGTTTGGATCCTGACCAAAGTTCACACCCAAATAGATCATCCCATGTGCTATTTGATCTGCCATTTCTTCACTTATTGGACTTCCTATTTGATTTTAAATTCCATTTTCCTTTCTTGTTTTAATCTCTCGTATCAACAGAGACTGTCTGGGCTAATGGGAATAGATTGGACACTTTTACGCCGCCTCTAATGAATGAATGAAAGCGCATGAATTTCTAGGGGGAGGGGAGCATTCAGTCTTCCAACTGCAATGCCCCCCTGAGCATCGATAAAGATTATTTGTTGTATATTGAAGAAAAAAAGGAGAAACAACTGGAAGGTGTTGGCACTTTTCCCTGCCGCTGTCTCCCATTTAATGGTGAAAATGTGATGGTTATAGTCCCAATATTTAGGATTTTACCGTTTCACCCCAAGTCCCTTTCTACAACACGTTTGTAGGGTTGTGTCGTGAATTGGGTATTAATATTACACCCAATGCAACGTCACGTTGATGTTCAATAGTTCCAAAGTTGTATAATTAAGTGGAAGAGCGAAATGTCCTTCAAGAAAGATGGTCAATCAGTGATATAGAAATATAACATTGGACTTTTTTTTAAAAAGAAGTTGTATTTTTTTATTAAATTCCTGCAAAAAAATCATTCTGGTTCTTTAGGCTTCTTTTTTTTAACGATAGGCCAGATGGTACTATCAGTAAAACCACAATATTTTTGCAACGCTTTGTCATGAGTGTCGTTTTAATAACGTGCAGCGCCAGAAAAAAACCTTTAATTTCCTGAGTAAAATATCTAACGTTGGCAGCAGCTCTCTTGACCATTTCTGCACTTTAATATTTCAAGAATTATGACTGAAAGAGACAATATCCTGGTGGAAAACAAGATTTCCCCACGAAGCTAACGTGATTGATAATTGTGTGTCTATTGCATACATTTCTTGTGTATGTAATAGATATACGCCATAGACATAGAGAGAGAGAGAGGCCTTATATTTTAACATCAGCGTTTTCTTCGTGTTTGTATTTACATTTTTGGTGACTGGCATCAGCTCGAACCTGCAGATTAAGTAAAAACAGTGCGTTTTGGGGGATTGAAAAATCTATTGGGTTGTAATATTCACCTTTCGAGCGATTTGCCCAAAGCGCAGTGAACTCTTCAATCATTGAAGAATGTTTTGTTTCGTTTTGCGAGGTTAATTGTGGGGGGGGAGGGGGGGAGTTTGTTTCCCTCCCCCCAAAAAGTTCAGTAATTCTATTTATCCTGCAGAGCAATAAATCCTGAAATAGGTGTAAATGGTATAAATAGATGCAAATGATATAAATAGGTATAAATGGTGTAAATAGGTACAAATGGTATAAATGTTACATAAATAGGTATACAAATGGTATAAATAGGTATACAAATGGTATACATAGGTATACAAATGGTATACATAAATAAGTACAAATGGTATAAATAGGTACATAAATAAGTACAAATGGTATAAATAGGTATACAAATGGTATAAATAAGTACAAATGGTAAATGGTGTAAATGGTACAAGTGGTAAATGATACAAATGGTGAATAGTATAAATGGTACAAATGGTAAAAAAAAATGTTATTACTGGGTGCAAATTGTATACGTGGGTACAAATGAATGGCATGTACTGACGCGGTGTTACTAAAAAAAAAAACCCCACAGGTGAAAGTCTGGTTTCAAAACCGACGCACGAAGCAAAAGAAAGACCAGGGGAAGGATTCCGATGTGCGATCGACGGCCTCGGAGACGGCGGCGACCTGCAGTGTGTTGCGGCTGTTGGAGCAAGGAAGGCTGCTCTCTCCCCCGGGGCTGTCGGGACTCCTACCCTGCGCCCCCAACAACCTGGGCTCGGCCCTGCGCGGCCCCGTGGTGGGCATCGGGACCACCCTGAGCGCCTCGTCACTCACAGTGGGAACCCCGACTGTAACCAGCTCCCACCCCGCACACAACGTCTTCAGTCTACCCGTCCCCTCCCTGCTGGGGAGCGTGGCCAACAGGCTCTCGTCGCCTCTGACGGTGACGGGGCCATTGACAGGGAACTTGCAGGAGCTCTCGGCTCGATACCTGAGCTCTTCCGCTTTCGAGCCCTATTCCAGGAACAGCAAAAGGGAAGGGATGGACAAGAAACTCATGGACTGATGGTCATTGTCGTGAGATCTTCATCTTCTCTCGGTTGACTCACCTAAGCTGGATTTTCACACCCACAAAAAAGAAATATATATATATATGTGTAGTTGGAAACCTCCAAACCTGCATAACGTTGGTTGGTTGGTTGGTTGTAAGCTGAATAAATTCAAAGCAAAAAATGCATGTTAATGTTAGCCAGAGAAACGTTTCTGATCCCCAACATGCCAAGTTCAAGCCAATTTACCCCTCCTCAAAAAAAAAAAAAATGGGGGCCTGGCAGTGATGTGTTTGGTTGTGAGTAAAGGGACACAAGCAATAAAACCCAGCAATACAGGATGGGTGATGTTGTCGCGTCAAATACATGGACTGTTATCATCGCTAACAACACAGTTACATGCGTAAAGCGCCTTTCACGTCGGGAGGACATCCACAATACACCTAAAACTAAGTAAGACAGAGCTTACCACAAGTTAAGTGAGGTCATAAACTTCGAGGGTAACCTTCCCCCCCCCCCCCTCCCCAGGAAAGGTGGACCTTTAGATCCCTGTTGTATTTTTCAATCACAGCTTAGGTAAGTCAACGAAACGATAGACACTTGGAATAAAGTTCGGGTTCCCACCACCACCACCACAACAACAACAACAACACAGGGTATTTCATGTTGATTGTGCCTAACCTAACCCTGTTATAAATGTCATGGACGAAAGTTGCTCAGTGTCTGGTATTTTATTGTATAAAATGTGTATATTTTAAACATGTGCCACCAAATTCTAAATAACAAGGTGGGGGGGTGGGGGGGGGGGGGGGGGGGGGACCCTTTGAAAGTGCGCTGTTTGTTCTGATGTACAGCTTTTATTCTAGTATAAATACTTGAAAAGAGGTTAAAAAGAAACCTGAAACCGTATTTTATTGTAAATTATTGATTAACGTCCGTAATTAATTAATAGATTAATGGTTTATGGAAAGGCGGTGATTGTATTTAATAGAAATCGATTGAAGAGTCCTTACTACTAACTTTCTCTGTAACTCTGTCGTCTGTTCTCTTTTTGTACGTGGTGAAAGTGGAAAATATATGTGAGCCCAAAATGTTAAACGGCTGTGTTTTTTTTAAAAAAAATCCGTATCTATTCTTTAATTCGGATTTTAAGTATCCTTTTCCAGTGAATCGTGAGCTTTCACACGTCCTGACATTAATACATCAAATATACAGTGAGTGTGTGAGCGAATAGACCAGAGACACAGACCTGAGCTGTGTGTGTGTGTGTGTGTGTGTGTGTTCCAGGGGATGAACCCATCAGGATGATTAATTATATTATTCCGTTGATCATTTGCATAATTTCCACCGTAATTTAAATCCGTGTTTAATTATTTTTCTTAAAAAAAGTACCAATTCATTTAGTGTACATTTGGTTCATTGCTCCGAACTGCAGGATGGAAATTACTGTCTTATTTTATTGCCCCATGATTGAACTAATGGGTAGAATGGTTGTGTTTGAAGACTGGAATGTGGGAATATTGCCACATAATCATCCGTGCAATTCAATATTTACTTCAAAGTAAAAATAAGAAAGATGTGAGTGCAAACTGCTATGTATGAATGTTCTCTTGAAATGTGGTAATAGTATAATAATAATAATAATAATAATAATACTAGTATCCTTGCATTTGATACAGCGCCTTTTCACGTCGTGGAGACGTCTCAGAGCGCTTCACGGAATAAAGTGAATTGACTGTATATTTTGTAGGCGAAACCCGGCAGCCAATTCACCTGTTCGAGTCATCATTCGGGGGGGGGAGAGAGAGAGAGAGAGAGAAAAAAAAACAGTCGTGGATTGAGTGAACAAATTATCTTTTTTTTTTGGAATGAGCAATATACAGCCACGATCGTCTTTGCAATACTCAGGCAGTCTCGTAGTACTTAAGTGGCTTTCCGTAATTCTGTACAATTACAATAATAGTTTGCAATATCAATTTTGTAAAAAGGCGGTGAGTTTTTTTGCAGTTGCCTTTGATTAGCATCAAAATCTGCCATAAGATTCCCAGGGAAAGTCGCTGCTACTAACGACATGACGTTTACTTTTGCCACCGTGACATTTAAGGCGAAGCATTTATAAAGGGATCCGGAAAAAGCAAATAAGAATTTTTTTTATGCATAAACGGCTTGTGTCCCAGGGCTATTTTTTCTCCCCCCCCCCCCCCCAATGAGTATCATCCACATCTCTGTCAAGTCGACGTAAAGTGCACGCACTTAAACCATCCTGTGAGCAAATTCAGTGACTTTAGAGGCAAAACGAGGGCTCTCGAATTGACTACGAGAATAGTGAGAATTGTTGCCCAGTCACCACCACCGCCTTCACAGTTACAGACGTTTACACTGAGCATCAGTGGTTTCATCTGATGTACGTGTGTGTCTGTTGTATGTATGTAAGTGCGACACAGCAACCTTTAAAGCTACACCTTCACAGCTGCTGCTATCCAAACCATGCACGAATGATTTAGTTAAAAAAAATAATAATGCATTAAAAAAAAATATTCGACCACCTGTTAAATTTTCCACTCATTTCACGGGAGATTTCCCATTCGCTCTTTCTCTCTCTCTCTCTCTCTCTCTTTCGTCAACTCTTCTAAAATAGCATCAGATTGAAAGGATCCTGGTGATTGCATTTGTGTGTGTGTGTGGGGGGGGGGGGGGGTTGGTGGTGAGTGGGTGGGGGGGGGGGTCTAATTTAAAAAAAACCCCGCAGTTATTACCTTTAAGACACACAGTCACTCCACTCCACACGAAATGTTTTTGAAAGCGTCCTCTCGATGTGGAAGGCGCTATAATGAAATGCGAGGTGTCATTTTCTTTTAGTCGTTAATATCACACGAGCTGCAGATCAAGCAAATAGCGCGTCAAAGCGCTGCAGAAGAAGAGAGCACAGAAAGGTTTTGCTTTACTTCAGGAAAACGAATTAAAGGAGCAAACAATACACGAAACTGCATTGCAGTTAAGCCATAGGTTCTTCCTCGCTCCCATCTCTGTCCTGGGCTCAGCACCTGCTTTCTGGATGACTGTGGCAAAGAGTGACACAGAGTGTTTTTGTTTTATTTTAAATTTTGAATGAATTGGAGCACAATTTCAGTGTGAGGAAGAACGACTTGTGCAGTCGTGGGTGATGGGAGTGTATGGCGTTGTCGAGCTATTTGCCAGAGGTGAGTCGTGTCCCAATCTCCCTATGTCTCACTTGGTTTCAAATTCAGATTTTTTTTTAATATTTGTATCGACTTCGCTCACTTTTTTTTTTTGGGTCGCTTTCACTCGAAAGGATGATTAATGTGTTACTGTGAACCGCAGATCTGGGCATCGCCCCACATTGTATTGATTGTACAGATTGATTCTCAATTTTTTTTTCTTTCTCTCTCTCTCTCTCGTTTTTTTTTAATCGTTTCATTTCAAACTTGTCCCAGATTTTACTGATTGGTGGCAAATTTGGGTGGGAAGACGCGAAACTGAAACTTCTCGACGTATTTCATAGTGACGTTCACCAGGAAAAGAAAAGAAAATAGCCACCGATCGAATAATTCATAAATCACATCGTAACTTATTTCCAGCCTTGACTTGATGTCCAGTCAATTGCTCTCAACGTTAACGTTAATACATGTCCTATCCTGCAGTTCAATCGATTTAATTAGTCCATCCGTGATCTGATTGACTCCAAATGTAGTTGACCTGTTTCAAAGATTCATTGCAGTAAACCAGTGATTAAATCCGTAACGAATGTCTCCCCCACCCCACCCCCCACCCCACCCCCCCAACACCCCCCAACAAAAAGTTGAAGGTTTCCATGACATGAATTAAACTCAGAGTGTGTTTACTGATTTTCTTTCTCTCACTTGGATCCCTGTGTTCAAAGCTATTGACGATCCTCTCCTTTCTTTTTTTTGTGTGTGTGTGTGTGTGTGTGTAAAAAAAAATCACTTACTTTTCCAAAACTATTTATCAAAATGTGATGAAAAGCAACTGAAAAGGGCATTGTGAACATTTTTATATCTCGTTTCCAATTTAGCTCAGGTGACTTGCCTTGGTGTGTAGCAGATGCTTTGGAATTTCTACCCACAAAATATTGACTTATTTAAGAAATAATTTGGAGTAGGACTTGCATTCTGGGCTCTTCAGTCTTTAATCGATAACACCTAATAATAATAATCATATCAACCATAATAAAACATAACCATAATAACCCTTGCATTTGTTGAGCAGCGCCTTCCCACGGTGGGAGGGCGCCTCAAAAGCGCTTCACTGGGTTTGTTGTGAAGTGTAGTGACTGCGTCTTTTGTAGGAGAATGGCAGTGTTACCGAGGATTTTTCCGTTTCACTTTGGCAGTACCGTTACACACGGTGACCGGCGATTTGTATTAGTGATACAGTGAGTTTTTGTTAGCTTCATTTTTTTTTATTGATGGAAATGTTTTGGGGATCAATCGTCCTCACTCGGTGTGGGAAACAGAGCGTTTTTGTGGTATATAAAAACCTTGTTCACCGAGTCGCCGGCAGTTTAGGCTTCATTTTACTTCCCTTCTTACAAAAGTTTCATTGCATCGAAAAAAAAATGCTCTCAGTGACCATTTAAGTGGCATTGTTGTGGTTTTTTTTTGAAAAAAAAGTCAAGTTATGCAATTTCGTTACCGATTAAAATGAATCCACGTGCAAACGAATGTGTAACAGCAATCGTGTCCCAGCAAAGTGACTTGCTCAGAGCTCTAAATATGTGGCTGTTTTTGGAACGAAATAAAATAAAGTTGGCCACAGGGCTTTAGCCTTGGGGTCTGCTTCCCAATGCAGATCTGCTGGAGGGTTTAACACATCGCCTGCTTCCCTCCTGGTCTACACAGTGCGAGCACATCTTCCCAGAAAGAGATTCCTAACTATTATTTTGCTGCAGATGTTTTTCGTGCAATACAATTGCAATGATCCTCGAATTTATAATTTAATAATAATATAAGTGGTTTCCCTTCCCTCCCCTCCACAC